TACCAGACACTTTGTAAAACGTCGCCACGTCCTAGCAGAATATACCAGACACTTTGTAAAACGTCGCCACGTCCTAGTCGGAATATACCAGACACTTTGTAAAACGTCGCTACGTCCTAGTCGGAATATACTAGACACTTTGTAAAACGTCGCCACGTCCTAATCAGAATATACCAGACACTTTGTAAAACGTCGCCACGTCCTAGTCGGAATATATTAGACACTTTGTAAAACGTCGCCACTTCCTAGTCGGAATATATTAGACACTTTGTAAAACGTCGCCACGTCCTAGTCGGAATATACTAGACACTTTGTAAAACGTTGCCACGTCCTAATCAGAATATACCAGACACTTTGTAAAACGTCGCCACGTTCTAATCAGAATATACCAGACACTTTGTAAAACGTTGCCACGTCCTAATCGGAATATACCAGACACTTTGTAAAACGTCGCCACGTCCTAATCAGAATATACCAGACACTTTGTAAAATGTCGCACGTCCTAAACAGAACATACCAGACACTTTGTAAAACGTCACGTAAACTATAATGTTTGCACATTTATTTGTTCAGAATATTCGCTCCCAACCTACTCTTAAAAATGAAGCGAATAATTTTAACTTTGTTTTAATTCAGTGTAAAAGTAGTTACTCACGTTCCCCTGTAGACTCCATTCTAGACGCTGTGTTCACTGTATCACCAAACAAACAATACCTGGGCATCTTCTGTCCTACTACGCCTGCGCAGCATGGACCTAGGGATGAAGAATCGCGTACAAATAGATTCTATTTTAGTTAAAGTGAAAAGTTAATATCTGAAGCATCCTAGTATTGGTTATTAGTTAAATAACCTTTATATAAGTAAAGTATTATGTCCATAAAATAATTGTAAATTATTTGTTTATCCGGGAATAAGTTGCAAGCTTTTGAATTTTATTCATATACTCGAAACAGTGACATCTATTGGCAAATTAATGTACTATAGCCTACACAAGATCAAATCCTTTTGTAATCATTCTTACCTTAACTACTATATTGACACAAGTTCTAGTAGGGTTTTAGTTAGTTTTTATGCCTTTATCCAAAACTTCTGTGAAATACATAACTTCGGCCAAAAATATGTAAAACTAACATTGTTAAAACAAGTAACGATTATGTGTTTTTTTTTTTTCGGTTAGCTTTATTTAAAGTTCTCGGAACAACTGACCATTATAGTTTTAAGTACAGTTAAGTGAGTTTCAGGATATATGAATAGGCTAACAAAGACGGGCAGCGTTTCTGTGAGAAAATATACAAACTCGCACACCGAGCTGAAGTTTCTTGTTGCTAAATTGTTTAGGATTAACTTATCGTATACTGTTCCAATAAGGCCATCACTATTAAAGTCCCGTTTCTTGTTGCTAGATTATTTAGACCATATTATTGTATATTGTTGCAACAAAATAAGATAACTTACATTCAATAACACTACTTCATAGCAAAGAAAATAAAATTCTGTAAAATATAATGTAAACATCACATTTCAGTATAGAAAACTTTTTTATAGTTTATAGTGCCCTAGATACACTTGTAGATTCACATACAATAATTTATTGTTGGTGTTCTAGCTACACTTGTAGATTCACATACAATAATTTATTGTTGGTGTTCTAGCTACACTTGTAGATTGACATACAATCATATATTGTCGGTGTTCAAGCTACACTTGTAGATTCACATACATTCATGTATTGTTGGTGTCCTAGCTACACTTGTAGATTCACATACAAATCATGTATTGTTGGTGTCCTAGCTACACTTGTAGAGTCACATACAATCATGTATTGTTGGTGTCCTAGCTACACTTGTAGAGTCACATACAATCATGTATTGTTGGTGTCCTAGCTACACTTGTAGTTTCACATACAATAATTTATTGGTGGTGTCCTAGCTACACTTGTAGATTCACATACAATCATATATTGTTGGTGTCCTAGCTACACTTGTAGATTCACATACATTCATGTATTGTTGGTGTTATAGCTACACTTGTAGATTCACATACATTCATGTATTGTTGGTGTTATAGCTACACTTGTAGATTCACATACAATAATTTA